CCCAAAAGATCTCTTTATAAGATCCAAAATAAATTCATCATCTCTTCTTTGTTATCTTTTCTGATCTAATAGTTACAGATTTATAAAAAAGATAATCCTAAACATAACTTGTTCTCTAATAAACCTTAATAAAATCCCAATCCTTCATATTTAAATATAAAGTTTCAATTTTATCCCTCAATTCTCTACAAGGCATACCCAGCTTTCTATCTTGGCTTTTTGCTATAAGATTAGCTTCCATTTAAACTTGCACTTTTATGGGGGCTTGAAGTGTTTTTCTTTTCATGAGTATTTAAGGGGTTTGGAGGGTGCTTTCCCATGAGTCTTGCATAAAGTTGGAGCCTTGTTTTTTTTTTTTCTCTTTTTTCTTTTTTTTGGGTGAGTCAGTGGGAGAGGGCCCCTACCCTTTAGTAAGAATTGAACCTAGGTTGTAGCGTTACAAATTATCAAGTGTTAACCAAATAATCCCAAGCTCTTTTCCTAAAGTTGGAGCCTTTCCATATGGGCTTAATGCATTTTCCTAGAAAACAATATGGAGAAATGCAGAGCCAAAAGTGCAATAATGGATTGTGCTCCCCACGCAATCAAATGCACAATCTAAATTGTTAGTGGGATTCAAATTCAACACATGAGCTTAGTCCGATGTATGGAAAAAAAAAGGGGGACTAAAAATAAAATACGATATGTGCTCTAAAAATGGGACTTGAGTATAAATATAAAATATAGGAACTACTTTTAAAATAAGTTAGATCATTTTTTGTAAATTTCACTAAGAGTTATAGTGATCTTTCTTTCACAAAAAATTGAAGTTTTCCTGAAGCCTAGTATGGGAGCAGCATTTATAAGTATGCTACATTTACATAAAAGAAAAAAATGTTTAGAAGTGTGTGCATGATGCATGCTAAAAGCTTCACCAACGTGTTAAAAATGTTCAATGAATATCACCCTGCCAAATTTCATGAGAAGCTCCTTTGACCATAATCTTCTTAAGAATAAATAAATAAATAATATGATATTTTTGAATAAATAAATAATATGATATTTTTGAATAAATAAAACTAGAAAATGCTAGCAAACTGTTTTATACCATATGAAGTTTATACATGTCATGTGCAAAAAAAGGGTTCATGGTTATTCAACAAGTACATTGCCACTAGTAAAACATCCTGCAAAAACATTAAAATAGTACATTGTCTTTGTTTCTTTCTTTTTTGGGCAAATGTTAAAGGAATTTATTTATAATGTAGGAAAATTACAATTTAAACCTCAAAAGAGGGAAGCATCTAATTTATTCAAAAAAAGAAGTGAAGCATCATATATAGTATGGCTAGAAAGAGACACTCCCCTTTTGCCTAACCCATCACCACGAAATCCACCTCTATATACACATGAGAAAATAAAATAGGAATTGAAGGGCTAATATTCATAACTTGTAACCATAATAACTTCAAACTCCAAAGGTACCTCTTGCTCGCTGCTACACCACCTAATTACATGCAAAGAATCCCCTTCCACCATCAGAGAGCCATTCAATCCTCTCTCTTGTATAATCAGAAGATCCTGTAAGAGCACTTTACGTTCAGAATAATTAGTTGTGTGAACCCTAAAAGGACTTGCAAAATTAAAAATCAGGGATCCACTGTCATCTTTGAGAAATACGACCAATACCGGTTAGCCCAGGTTGCCTAACGAGCTGCCATCAAAGTTAAGTCTAACACTACCCATAATTGGTGGCAACCACTTTCCAACTGCTCTACTTTTGTAATCAGACTGATTAAAAACATCTACGAGGTTGGAAATAACATGAGAATAAGAAATTCCCCATTCTTCCTTGATAACAAAAAAACCAATTGCATTAATAATGAATGATTTTAGCTTTCATTCGACATCCATCTACACTCCATCAAACGTTCGCCTATTTCTCTCCTTCTAAATCTCCCAAGGGATTGATGCATGAAATATCTTCCAAATACCAATTCATGTATTAGGAATACCTGAAATATGAAGGTCCTACAAAATATTTTTGTGGCTTTTGGGAAGAGCAGCAAAGAGCAACCTAACTTCAAAAAAGCCCAATCCCAAAGATGTGAAGCAAAGTGACAATGTAAGAATAAATGATCCAATGTTTATTCCTCTTCCTTACACATCAAATACACATTACCCATAATCTTTCCTCTCTTTTTCAGAACTTTCCCTTGCGTAACCATCCAGAGGAATGCTTGAATATTATTTGGGACTAGCCATTTCCAAATCTCATTTTGCCTGCTCCCCCCCCCCCCCCCAACACATTCGATCATTGAATAGCAGCTAGTAAGCAAATTTAACTGTTAATGGTCCACTGCTTTCCACCTCCCAAGCTACATTATTCTCCCCACTTCGTGAAATATAAAAGTTTTCAAATATGAAAGCAAACAAGACAATTGAGAAATAACAACATTTGAGACTCTGTTATAAAAGCCTTGAATATTCCATGTGCAACCAAGATTACCCCGGTGCACCACATCAACCTTCATGAAAGGGTTTAAGATTCTGACAAACAATTCTGGATAGCAAACAACAATGGGCATGCCTCCTAAAATTTATGGAACTAGAAATGTGTATTATCCCCTTTAATTACCAACTAGCGAATGTTTCTATCCATGATATCTCTACATTTAGATATATCTTTCCAAACTTGTGATTGGTATTGACGTCCTCTACCGTATTGTAATAGTTGTGTTAACTGATTGACACCATATTTAGCTTTCAAAACTTCCAACTAAAGGTGCTTATCATTTTGAACTGATCTCCACCACCATTTAGCAAGTAACACTTTTTTAAATTGCTTAATTTTTCTAATCCCCAGACACCTATCCCTCTTCGGAGTACATACTTTATACTAGCTAACATGGTGATATTTTATGCCATCCTAACAAGAACCTCAAAGAAATTTTGGCATCAATTTCTCTATATAATTAGCTACCGAGCTAAGAATCTGGAGCAAATATATCAGGTAAAGAGGAAGATGTGCCAATGAAGACCTTATCTAAGTGATGCATTAACCCAATGAAAGATGTTTCCTTGCCACATATCCAACCTAACTTGAAATATTTGAATAACCCGATCCCACACTGCCCTTGATAGCCTTGAAGCCAAAATAGGTAAACCAAGGTATTTGATGGGGGAAACTCTCCACTTTATAGCCAAATGTGTTAGCAAAGAACTAATTAGCATATCATCACATGTCATCTCAACCATGGAAGTTTTCTGAAAGTTAACTCTTTGACCCAAAGCCACCTCACAACACCCGAGAAAACAAACAATATTTGATGATTTGTTGTGGATGTGCATCAAAGAACATAAGGGCCCCTAACTGCAATTAAAAACCATCCACTCGTCCCTTTTTAATCACATTATAGTAATTTACTCCACGCCTCTACAACTAGAGTGAAGAGAAATTGGGATTAAGGTTCTTCCTGCTTTAAGCCTCTCGTGGCCTTGAAAAACCCCTAAGGACTGCCATTGATGAGAACTTAGAAATGTGAGTTAGAGAAACAACCAGAAATCTACTTACACCACTTACTTTCAAAACCCACACATCTCATAATTTTAAGCAATACCTGCAACCCACTCTCTTAATGCTCAAGTGGTTTATGTTGTTGTGAGAAGTTAAAGACTAATGTTGTTTTTCGAAATTATTTTGATGACAACCTAATAAATTATCAAAATAATTTGAAAAATCAATAACAATCTTTAACTTCTCACAATAATATAAACTACCTACACATTAAGAAAGTTACTATGCATGATGTGTGTGAAAAAAAAAAACACCAGATTCAATCATAGGCTACCCATTGGAGTGCATCCCGTGCCTTGGATAGCAATGACACAAAATATAGAGCGTCTTATGTGCATATCACTTTAAATTACTATTATTAAAAAACTTTCCTAAATCTGAAGTTCTCAGTGGAAGTTCTCTATGGCATCCAACAAGTTTTTAGGCTTGTTGTATGCAGATAGAACTTTGGATTTTTCAATTATTTTAAAAAACATCAGATTTTGAAATCTGAAGTTCTCTCTTGCAGAGAAAATTTCAGTTGTTTTTAATATAAAGTTTAGAGAACTTCAAAATTTCATGGTATGAAGTATTTTTAAGCCTTATAACCACCTAAAAAGATGTCCAAGCGTGTTTATTACAAATATTAAACTTTAAAATTTCAGGATCCAAAGTAGGGGTAATGTCATAATTACAAAGAAATGTTGAAAATTTAAGTATAAATATAATAATGTGAAATATTTCTTAAATAACAGAGCTTTAGTGCACATAAATTACTCTAAAGTATAAAGGCTTAGACGCGACGATGCCCCATTTACTAACCAGTCAGTTTGTTATGCATAAAAGTTGTCCACCACATAGCTTCCCACTTCATAAATACCTCTAAATCTCTAATGATAAATTAAAGGCAGTGCTTCTTTATGCTAGCATTATGGGTTTCCTACATTTTGTTATCACCTCCTCAACCGTCTGATGTCAACAACAACTTGATAGGTTCGCTATCCCGCTTCGCTCAAATCTGCCAAAAAATTGTTCATGGATTTTTCACAATGGACTCACCATGACAGTCCTTTGTCGACAAGTTGATTAGGTACTGTAGGAAACACAATTGCTAGTATTGATACACAATCCTATTTCAAAAACCCAAACCCTAGGAAAAGGGGCTGGGTCATGGTGGTAGCATCCCCACACTAAGATGCGACATCATGATATCTATTCTTACCATTGACACCCCCAATTAACGTTTTCAAAATGTGACTCCCCAATCTATGAAAAACGGTAGGGCTTGTCTTCCCCACATAATTACCAAAAAAAAAAAAAAAAAATCCCAAACCCTAATCTACCATCTAAAAGATAAAAGAAAATCGTATGCCAAATGCAGCTTAGCTATGCTTTCAATTCCATAAAATGCGATTTCACACACTTGCATGCACACGTGCATTTGCCGGGTATTAAGCAATAAGAGTGTAGATGGCGTACGATGGCTTGGTTGAGGTGGTGCACTCTTTATTGGCGTAGAGCTGTAAATTCTTTTGCGCTGAGATTGGACGCCATCTCCCTAAGCACAAGGCCCTCCGGCCACTCTAGGGTTTGGACCTGCAAAAACTCGTCTCTTTCTTCGCAGGCCGCCATGGATTGGCCGGCCAATAGGGTTAGAGAGACCTTCATTACCTTCTTTGAGCAAAAGGGCCATGTGAATTGGAAGTCAAGCCCGGTTGTACCAGTTGATGACCCCACCTTGCTGTTTGCTAACGCAGGTGAGAACTGAGCCCTGGAATTGAGATCTTGAGATTGTGATGGATGTTTTGTGTTTGGTTCTATGTTTCTTAATGGGTCTTTTTGTGAGGAAAAATGGGTCTGATTTTGTTGTACTTTGTTTGAGGTGGTTGGATTTGTCTAGTGGGAGTTTTTGAATTGCGAGAGGTGTTTTTGGGGGTTTAATGGTTTTTCTGGGTTTTTTTGTGGGGGTTTGTTATGGGTATTTGCTGTTTCCCCCCCCCCCCCCCCCCCCCCTTTCCTTTTTTTTTTTCCGGTTGTGGTTGGATTGGATTTGTAGGTATTTTTTTTGGTATTGGCTCAATTAAAACTAAGATATTAGGAATATGATTAATGCTTTTAAATTGATAGGGTAGCTGCATTTTAAGTTTGGAAATGTAAAAAAATGTCCTGTATTTGGTTTGTTCTAGTTGCGTAGAGAATCGTGGATATGACTGTTTAGTAGTTACTACTTATGTAGTAGTGCTCGACTAGTCTTCTTCAGTACCCTGTCATTGTTTTTTTAGTGACTGGTTTTATGTACCTGGCACAAATTGAGGGACGTATTTCTGTTATCGTATATATCTCCAGGATATTTCTGGTCATTTCTTTTATCCTACCATTGGTTGTTAAAGGCAGAATAGCGATAATTTAGCTCTTATGCTGTATTTCCTTACGCATTGAGTACTCTTGTAAATTTGACTAAGATTGCTTATAGCAAATAGTTGAAGCTTGCAGATGCCAAGAACATATTTGGAGTACCATGTAACTCCAATCGAAAAAATTTTAAATGCTTAAATCTTTAAGGAGTCACAATATTATGGATGAATAATTTGATCAGTGTGAAGTACGATCACATTCTTTTGGATTAGTTTGGAGCAGAAGAATCATCGTAAAGGGAAAAAGAATAACAGTGGTGCACAATTCTGACAGCGTGAAGTTCATGTGTTCTCCTGAAAGGGCTGAAAGAAATAGACGAAACTTTTGATGTTCCACTTGAGCCCTTGATTGGAGCAATATCTTGATTGGAGCAATATCTTTAGCGGTGAGGCAAAAGTGATGAGGCTCCTTCAAGCTTCCCTTCAGGTGCCCACTTGTTGTGTAGTAGGGCCTCTAGACATCAGCATTTAAGCTTCAATCTGCTCAAAACCAACTCTGGCCAAACCTCACTCTGTTTATCTCATAAAGGTGGAATCTTTCTGGAAAATATCATATAACAATGACAGTCCTCATCCCTATTATCATAAGCATTTCCCCTTTCCAGGCTTATTAACTACAAAAGGTTGTTAGTGAACACATTTTAGATTGTATCTGGAATTAGTGAAGAGAACTCCGAGGAACCTGTTGGTATGACCTACCTTCAATGAACCCAGGGAGAGCAGTTGGTATGAAATTAACAGCAACGCATGGGAATGAACCCACATATAAACCTAGTTACCAATCCAAGATAAACAACTGAAATCATGCATATCTACATTTGTTGCCTTTCTAAGGTGGGACCATACACCAGAAAAAGAGGGCACTTCCCCTAGATTTATGCAGTTCTTACTGCTGGTCTTTGGCTATGAATAAGACATACAAAATTGCATCTGCATCCAACTTGTTAGGAAGTATGGTCTGAACCAATGGAAGTGTGAGGACTAATATCTCTTCTAGACAATAGTGGCTCACCTCTTCTTTTTGTTGGGAAAACTGTTTTTGTTTGGCATTTGGCATTATGAGATTTTATTTTTTTTCTTAGCACTTCTCCTTTGTATCATTGTACTTTTTGAAGATATTATATAGTTTACCAAATGTGTATTCTACTTCGTATTCCATTCTTTTTGTTTTTGTTATGCCAATGCTATGAATAACTATGTGGACTTCGAGAAATGATATTTCCCCTAAAAACATTTGACCAGTTTGAATGAGTTGAAATCATATCTTACCTCTTGTCAATCTGAATTATACCATGTCAGGACTGCATATGAAGAAAGTTGATTCAATATTATTTTTTGCAGGCATGAACCAGTTCAAGCCAATTTTCCTTGGAACGGTTCACCCTGGCACTCCTTTGGGTAAACTGAAGCGTGTTTGCAACACCCAAAAGTGCATTCGTGCTGGTGGGAAACATAATGATCTCGACGATGTGGGAAAGGACACATACCATCACACTTTCTTTGAGATGCTTGGAAACTGGTCATTTGGAGATTATTTTAAGAAAGAAGCCATTGGTTGGGCTTGGGAGCTTCTCACACAGGTATATAGCACCAGGACTATGATATCCTTATTATGTACTGTTGTCTGCTGTTTTATTTGCAAAGAATGCATCTTTGTTTCATTTCATTGTTTCTATGTTCCTAGAGCATATTTCTCTAGTTTATATTTAGTCGATCTTTACCCTGTTTTTATAGGGTGAAGTTGAACTTCTAGTTTTTGGCCTAGGAGCTCTCTATCCAAATTAAATTTGCGAAAACAATATTCTAATTCCATCATATAGAAGCTACACTCTTGATTATACAAGAATTTGTGATGCAAAAGGAGTTTGGGAAATTAAATCTGGCTTTCTTTCGATTCTTTCGATCTTAAACAAGCAAAAATTCAACAATAATGGAGGGGAAAATATGGCCGTAAATTAAGCCATGGAGAAGAAGAAGCTATCTTTTTCTTCATTCAAAAACAAAATCTCTACAAAAATATTCCAGTCTCCTTTCTAAGGGGAAAGTTCCACCTTAAATACAAACCAATTAAAAAGAAATAAAAAAACCCAAAAAAGCTCTCTCTCTCTCTCTCCCACACCAATCTCTGTCCCCCATGTTAATCTCGTCCTCTCTCGCTGCCACAATTTTCTCTCTCTAGCGCATCTCCTTTTCACGTGAATCTCTCCCCCATCAAATCTTTCCTTAGATCTTCACTCTTATGAAAATCTCCCATAAAAATCTCTCTCTTAAATCTTTAACTCCTCATCCATATCCCACATAATCTCTCTGGTTCAAGCAAATCAAGTTCTTTCCAAACTTTCATATTTTCTCTCATAGATCCTCTTTTCTAGGAAATTTCTCTACTCCTCACGTGATCAATCCTCTCCCATCATTCTCTTTCAAATTATCTAACAATCCTACCAAAATAGGATCATGGAATCCTACAAACTAGGAAATCCATCCTAAATAAAATAAAAATCCCTTTTTAACCCCCATATGAATATCCCTAAACTTCAGTCCCAGCAATAAATAAATAAAAAATAAATAAATATCTTGCATACAATTTGCATCATACTCCCTGGGTTGGGAAAAAAACTTGTCTCGAGTTTTTGCTGCGGCATCATCGACTTCCCTTAGCTGATGGTGAAGTCCAACATCCCCACGCAAATGTTCTTTGTAAGACATGAGATTGAACACTCTAAATAATAAAGAAATTCTCCATCCATCTAGCCAACTTCAGGACAAACATCCAACTACATTCAAATATGGGTGCACGGAATATACTCTTCGACTAATTGTATCGGCTAATTGATTCCTTATGAAAGAAACATCTTCCTTCCAATTGGCTTTCTTCTTCTGAGGCTTCTTCGTTGTTTTGAACTCTTGTGATAACCATGCCTTGAATTTTAGGTCATCAATTTGCTTAGAAGGATGCAACTCTTGTTGTAGATTTGACATGACCCTTGTTATTTCATTGTATCCCATTGCCACGAGGCAAACATTACTATCAAGACATGCAGCTTTCAAGATAGTCGGCATAGTTTTGCTAAAGCCTGTGTAGCCAACTATCACATCAATCGTCTTAGAAAGCTTGTTAAGCTGTGAATTCCCTTGTGTGATTTCTAGAATAGATTTTCCCTGCAACGATAGCATAAAAATCACATGACCATCTTTGGTTTTCGCAATTATTAAGCCCATGTTTTGTGGAGAATAATAACATGGAAAAACTGTGTGAGTTTCCCCCCTTGAAAGTTATCACCAACATCCTCCTTGCATTCTCCAATCATACAACTGGTATGTGTAGAAATACTTTGTCGATCAACACTAAGGGCTTCAAGCACATATCCAATAAACCCTTCCCATTCACATCGCAAATAAAAAAGTAGATGCTTAAAACTCATACGATTGGGCCTAAGCTAACATGCTTCCCCAAGGAAAAATTTTAACACATCAAGAGAAATTTTTAAATCATGCATGGCACATGGAGATGTTATCTTTACAATAGCAAGATCATTGTCTTTTGCAATAATTTTCACAATCTCTACATAAGCACCTTTCATGTTATTTCCCAAGGACATCAAGACTTTGATCACAAAACCAGTCCCTTCACTTGTAGGGCCATATAAGATTTGTTCAGTTCCAATCAATGATTTAAAAATCGGTGAGTCGAACCGGACTCGCCCGGTTCGACTAGGGAATTGGCACAGCCCGTGCCGGTTTCAGCGCAAAATTAGGAATCGACGGTTCTAGCAGAACCGTCGGTTCCCACTCGGTTCTGTCCGGTTCCTTCCCGGTTCTAGCGGTTCCCTCTCGGTTCTAGACGGTTCCCTCCCGGTTCTAGCCTCAAAAGCACCTTCACACATGTGTATGAGTCACGCGTGCAATACGCACCACTCCCACACGTGTGTACGTGTGACACGACCGGTACACACTCCCACACGAGCCAACACACTCCCACAAGTGCCATACGTGCGACACGCATGTGCACTCGTGCACTTGTGCACCGGTTCTAGCCTTAAAAACACCTTCACACATGTGTACGCGTCACACATGCGGCACACACCACTCCCACATGTGTCGCACGTGCAACACGCACATGCACACGTGCATGTGCACGGATGCCCTAGTGTTTTCACAATTGTGTTTATCTTCCAATTACATAGTTATTTATATAGCATATTTGAATACTCATCTTTCGATGTGGGATAATTCTCAAACATCATGAAATGAAAATATAATGTAAATATATGGTATTAATAGGTAAACACATATGCTAAGGAGGCATGATGGTTATCACTAATGTTATTTACTTTGACTTCTCAAGTTCGAAACCCCCCTTGGGCCATATAGTAGTTTATCCCTTCTTGAGCTAATTTTTGTTTCCCCTTGGGCATATAATAAATTAAAGTGTTATTGCCAAAATTTGTATGCATTTTATTAATTTTTACATTGATAACCAAATCTTTTATTTTATTTATTAATTTTACATTATAAATCATGTAATGTACTATTTTTTTTACAGTTGTCAATAATACATTTTAAATTAGATAATATTGTAAAATATTTTTAATTTGTTATTATTTGTCTAATAAAATAATTATAAAATGTAAACTAAAATTGCTATTAATAGCGTACCAATGGTTTAAAAAGCGGATCGGTGACCCGGATCGAGCACCTCAAAAATGGATCCGGATCGGTGAATCGGCAATCCGAATCGGGAATCGGCTGAATCGATAGGATTAAAGCTTCAAAAAAATTCGAAAAAATATTAAAATTCATTATAAATGTTGTTTTTTAGGAATCCGATAAGAAATGAGGGTACTACATTATTAAGTTTCATTTTTTTCATCAATTTGTGAATATTGAGATGCTCTTTCCCTGTATAAACTTAAGTATTAAATTTGCATCACATAAAAGAAAAATCATAGAATTATCATGGAAATATATAATTATACATGGACTATAATAAAGAGTAGACTAAATCAATGAAAGAATGGCCATTAAAATCTCGTTGTGGCGAAAAACCCTAATCAGCTAAAAAAACTTCAATTATTACCGCCTAACTAACTATAATCCAAAATTATTGCAACTTTACTAATTATAATATTATATACTAAAATTAAAATTTTTAGTTTACATTTTATAATTATTTTATTAGACAAATAATAACAAATTAAAATATTTTATAATATTATCTAATTTAAAATGTATTATTGACAATTGTAAGAAAAATAGTACATTACATGATTTATAATGTAAAAATTAATAAATAAAATAAAAGATTTGGTTATCAATGTAAAACTTAATAAAATACGTACAAATTTTGAAAACAACACTTTAATTTATTATATGCCCAAGGGGAAACAAAAATTAGCTCAAGAAGGGATAAACTACTATATGGCCCAAGGGGGGATTCGAATTTGAGAAGTCAAAGCAAATAACATAAGTGATAACCATCATCATGCTTCCTCAGTATATGTGTTTAAAATTGCCTATTAATAGCGTATATTTACATTATGTTTTCATTTAATGATTGGAAATTATCCCACATCGAAAGATGAGTATTCAAATATGCTATATAAATAACTATGTAATTGGAAGACAAACATAAGTGTGAAAACACTAGGGCATTCGTGCACATGCACGTGTATATGTGCGTGTCGCACGTGTGGCACATGCGGGAGTGGTGTGTGACACGTACACACGTGTGAAAGTGTTTTTGAGGCCTGAATCGGCTAGAACCGGTGCACGCGTGCATGTTCGTGTCGCACGTATGGCACGTGTGGGAGTGTGTGGCACGTGTGGGAGTGTGTGTACCGCTCGTGTCACACGTACACACTTGTGGGAGTGGTGCGTGTCACACGCGTGAGCGTACACACGTATGTACTGCTTGTGTCACACGTACACATGTGTGGGAGTGGTGCGTGTTGCACGTGTGACATGTATAATAACTTCATTTGCCCTTTTAATAAAACTCTCAAACAATTTAATAACTTCTTTCATGAGCCAAATGCCGTCAAATGGTTTTCGTATTTGACTAGGAGGATTTTTTTCTTGGTAATTATCATCAAATCTAATTCTAGTGCATTGACTAAACATCAATATACTCCCAGCAGAAATTATCATCCCCACATCTCTTGAACATCCCAAATCAGCAACATTAATGAGCGGATGCCACACAAAATGATGTTGTTGAAACCATACTTCGGATTATGAAATGGTTCCAATAAACGACCAAACCAGTCGAATTCATCACAACCATTCCACGCATCATGAGTAGGCTTTTTCGAAATAGACAACCAGTCACGACTCTCCATGTTCATAACATAATGTTCATCATCTCCATTACATGTGATAGGAAGTTGGATTGAGAATTGAGCCACACCCTCCTCTTTGGAAGATTTAGGTGGAATCTTCTCACTCATTGACAACAAAGATGGTTCATGTCTAATCATCAAAACTTTGGTTTGATCATAAACCACTATCTTTGTTTTCTCATCCAATCCCAAATCCCATTTTATTGTAGTCAGGGGTTACTCTTTTATGTTCACTAGGAAGGAATCATTTACAAAACTAACATTGTCTTCAATAGAAATAATGTTAAAAGTCTACATTTCCTTCTGATCAATAGAATGCTGAATTTTTTCATTATCAGATTGAGAATCCTCCATACTTTCATCAATAAAAGTACTAGGCTTATCCCTAATTATCTCTTCTTTTTCAGCAGATTAATCTACAATTACATCTCACTCTTTTCTCGTGAGATTTGGGGCCTTTTGTACCTTCCAATGTATCAAACTCTCTAATGACAAATTTAGGGATTTCTTTGATCAAGAAATTACATACCTCTATTTGTTTATGTGTGTGATGTTCAGGTTGTGCTGTAGGGACAACAACTTCCCAAGTTGGAGGCCTCAGTTTCCTAGCTTGGGATGATCCAACTTTAGGGGTCGATCTGGATGTAGGAAATTCTTTCTTTACTCATCTCGACACTGATTTTGGTCTACTCCCTTATGCCAATGACATCGGCTTTGGGGTTGTCGGTTGCCCAACTTTTTTTTGCATTCATCCTCCCGTTGTTGCCGTCGTGCATCGAACCCATAAGTGTGATCAAGCATAAATCAAGCTGCTCCAACTCAGACTCGCGCTCTGATCTATGCCGATCTCCACTAGAACTCGCACAATATGGATCTAACACCGTAGACCTCATCTTGTTCAATGTACGTTGTTGCAATCTTTCTTTTTGCAACAACTTTTTAACCATCTCCGTCAAGTTGTCGATTTTCTTGTGTATCTGGTCATGCTCGGCATTCCTATGATTGCAACCTCCACGACCATCCATCGTAGTCACTAACCCTTTAACCATGCTCTGATATCAAATGATGCAAAAGGAGTCTAGGAATTAAATCCGGCCTTCTTTCGCTTCTTTCGATTTTAAACAAGCAAAAATTCAACAATAATGGAGGGGAAAATGTGGACGTGGGTTGCTAAATTCTCACCTTTTGGTTTTCTTTTTGTTCCTATCCTACCCTTGGCTTTGTCTGGATTATTTTGAAAGCCTAGTGGTTATCCATCCTGTCTTCAATAAGTTGTTTCAATTGACCTCAGTTTGGTCCACGAATTTCTTTGTAGTGCCTTCCTCTTTGTCAGATCATTGATTCCATGGATGGAGGGATATAAATCTAGGGATGGCATTTTTTTTTGTTTTGAGAAATAGGGATGGCTTATTTTACAGAAGGGATTGTTCACATGAATGTAGTCTAAGTCCCTTGTCGCCATCATTGTCTAAAAGTATACACTTCGACTCCAACCTTCCAGGGATGTACTCACTACCTGCATTGACCACTGAACAAAGGGAGCAACATGCCTGTCTGACTTCTTCCTCTCATATCGGCCTTACCAAGCCTTGAATTCACGAACTTCTTTTGGCTTCCCAGTGTCATTTTTTTCCTTAAGACTGAAAGGATTGAGACTTTTCACCTCAGACACCTATTTCCTGATCTTTATTGACCTCAATACTCATTTCCAGGGCCTTGATCCTCCCCAGTCTTTCCCATTTCCTTTTTCAACCTCCATTCTCTTACTGATGCAACACTGTAACCTTTTCCTATCGTACCCAACTTGCGAACGTTGCTTTTGAATGCCCTTTCTTTGGGCATATCGCATACTCATGGTCACTTATCTCTTCTTCCTCATAACTCGAGAAAAAAATTTCGAAGATCTATTCTTTTTTATACATCATTCCCTCATTTTTTGTTGTTTTTTAGGTTTGTACTGTTCTTCTTCCTCAGAACCCTAGAGAAAAATTTAGAACTTGAGATTTCACTAAGTTGTTACTAATTCATTTAGGCAATCAATGTGTTCATCCATCCTTTATAGTTTTCTTATATGCTTGAGGTCTCGTGCTAGGTCTCAATGGATTTGTCCATGGTTCTGGGGATCCTTTTATTGCTTTCGAGTTTTGTTTGTCAATGTGATAAAGCATAGCTTTTCAATGCCATTTCTTCCTATTTAGGTCCTCACAGTATTTGATTAGAAGATATGATATATTGTACTGTAAAAAGGAAAACACAATGACATTATTGTGATTAAAGGAATTGAAATTGTGGATAGATTGCAGACTAAGAAATATTGGACAATAATTAGATTTTGAGAAACTCTTTTGGGAAGATGATATTATGTTGTTTCATTGGCTGAATAACTTTTATTCCTGCAGTATGATAATTGTTATTGTTCTGCAGGTTTATAAATTGCCTACAGACCGCATATATGCCACTTATTTTGGTGGAGATGAGAAATTGGGTCTCGATCCTGATATTGAAGCTAGAGATATATGGCTGCAGTTTTTGCCACCTGGACATGTACTTCCTTTTGGTTGTAAGGTATGTATTTTGATGATTTATCTTCTCTATTGTTTTCATGATATGCATTTAGCATATTGTTTCAAACTGGAACTTGTCCTTGGCAATCTATCTTATTGAGATTGTGTTGCTTTTGATTTTGTAGTACATGAATAAGTTTCCTATACCAGGAATGTAATCGTCTATAGAAGAAAACTAATATTACTTTGGCAAAATATACCAAGAGACCATGTACTTTTGGTACATAGAGGTAACAATTACTCTTGTCCTTCAGATTTCAAATTTGGTGGTTGTAAACGTGTTATTGACTGGAGTCAAAAGTAAAACAAAAAAATTATCGAACTTTGTGACGCATCTCAAGCCATCCAATTTGACATCTAATGGGTAGGAGTAATTGTGACCTCCTTGTAACAAAGATAAATGGTCTCATGATATACAATGCGTATTTCTTTTAGGTGTTAAATGTGTGATTTAATGCATTAAGGACTTCTTGCATAAAGTCTATTATATACAGTTGAAGCCAACTCTATTTTCAGCTTTCACATTGCAAAAGAAAGAAAAATATCTGAGACTATTATTTATGGACAATGCATACGGATGTAATAACTTGGAATGTGCTTTTACTTGCAAGTTTGAAATGTATTATGTGTAAGAGGAAGAACGAGATAATTAAGTAAGTTAATTTCTGATCTCTGTATATCTCTTAGTTTTGATGGTTTCTTTGATTCTCTGTCTACCAAGTTGCTGCATGATGGTTGAACAGAGACAGCATAGAACTCTTTTTTTGTGACTCTCTTGATTGAAACTTTGCCCTTCAGTCACTTGATTCATGCCTATCATTTTCTATTGATAAGTTACAGTTTATTGTTTATGTCTAAATGATATGTATGCAACAAATTGCCCTTTGTGTGTTCATACAGAGATGTAGAAGACATCAACCAAAAAACTAAAAAAAAATAAAGCCCAAAAGGTTCAGGAGATGACTCCAGTACTTTTGTTAGACTGGTGGGGTTTCAATGGTGATGAATCTCATTGGCATTTTGGAGTTGGTTCAAGGAAATTTCAGATGTTATGGCTGTGTAAAATGCATTGCTTCTCATTAACCTTATGTAGTTGTTCAGGTAGCCAATGGGCCATTTCATTTGGGCGTTCTCATGCACTGCCTTGAGGGATGGGTTGATTTCTTATGCCTTCTATCATCTTTCCAGTGTTTTCTTCTTTAACAAACAACTTTTTCATGTGTGTTTTCTTTGGTCAGCAAACAATGATAACCTGTCAGTTACCTATTGTCTAATATGATCTAGAGTTCATTGGTTTTTTTTTTTCTTTATCTGTTATTTATACAAAACGATCTTTTTATAATTGTTTTATATTCTATTACTACTTTCATGATTTATAGAGATGCAGTACCCACTAACTGCTTTATCATTTTCATGTAAGTTTCTTAATGATTTGTGTGATTTTGGACATTGGATAGGATAACTTTTGGGAGATGGGTGATACTGGCCCTTGTGGACCATGCACAGAAATCCATTTTGATAGAATTGGTAACCGAGATGCAGCTTCTTTGGTCAATAATGATGACCCTACTTGCATTGAGATCTGGAACCTTGTTTTTATTCAGGTGTATAAGCATTAAATCTATCCTATCTTTCTTTTTGTTATTATCTGGTCTTTTTTTGCCATGTTCTTACCACTTAATATGATACAGTTTAACAGGGAAAGTGATGGGTGTTTGAAGCCTTTACCTGCAAAACATGTTGACACAGGAATGGGCTTTGAACGACTTACTTCTGTTCTTCAAAAGAAAATGAGCAATTATGACACAGATGTGTTTTTACCAATATTTGATGCCATCCAACAGGTATCACTATGATGCAATAGGCCTTCTTATTGGTTCTCTGTTCCTCATTTTAGTAATTGGAAAAGTCTTTCTCTCCCCCCTCGCGCTCCACCGCCCCTCTCTTCTCTTGGTGGTCATCTGTATGAAAAATGAAATCAATGGAAGAGAAGTGGAGCTTGGCATTCCTTTTACTAATTAAGATGAATGTCCTGGTCACCTCATGGCTCAAGCTCATGATTTCGTTAATCGTTCACAGGCTACAGGAGCCCAGCCGTACTCAGCGAAAGTTGGAACAGATGATACTGACAAAGTAGACATGGCATACAGGGTTGTGGCAGATCACATAAGAACCCTTTCCTTTGCAATTGCTGATGGTTCTCGTCCAGGTGAAACTACAGTACATTTCTTACAAATTTATCAGCATGCAGTTCTTTATTTATTTGTAGTACTTCTTGTTTTTCCCTGTTGTTTATGCTTGGGTTGCATTTCATTACACTTATTTTATGTGCCAGTAATTTTCTTGTGGATTTGTCCTAGATTATGGAGTTATGTATTTTAAACAGCTCTTTTTATCCTTAAATGCATTTAATTTTGCTTATCCTATTTTTTATAGCATTTGTTCCGTATTTGGTTCTGTTGATGCTAGGGGTACCTTACGTCCAAGAGCCCTTTAAACCAATAAACCTTGAGCTTCCCTTTGCTGGGATGTTCCACCATTAGTCTGGAGTTACCATTCTTTCATTGTAAAACATGTTCTTGCCCTTGGATTGGCAAGACCTCTGCTTCCTCAATATATGCACATTGTTCCTAGTTAAAAGATGTCTTGCTTGTAAGCTTGTGTCCACAAGCTTGTGTGCACGTGTGATAAAATACTTTTAGACACCTAATTCATAGTCAACTTGCAGAACAAAACTTGTGATCTTAAAGAGAGCGGATTGTCTTGAACTTTTTTGGGGAGAAAAGAGAGTGCCTTTTCTTTTACTTTGGAAATTGATTGGTCAATGTTAGGTATTCTTGTGTGCCAATCCCAGTCAATGGTCCCTTGTTCTTGACAAAGAGGTCAAACAACTGCACAATACCCTTTGATAAAATCTAGAGCAGGGCTTATGAGTTGGTCGTTGTACCAGTAGTGTGGATTAAAGAAGGTGATTCACTGGGTTTGGCAAATAATGCTTCCACATTGGGGTGGGATACATTTAGCTATACACAAAATGGCATTTTTGATGCCCTACTATTATTTCTTTGTTGCTTATTTAGATTGCAGTAAGTATTCGTGAAATGTTTATATCTGAACTACCTCACTGCTATTTTTCTTCTAAGTTGCTTGCTTGTGCCTTGCAGGGAACGAAGGTCGTGAATATGTTTTGCGGCGTATCCTTCGGAGAGCTGTTCGTTATGGAAGGGAAGTTCTAAAAGCTGAAGAAGGTTTTTTTAATGGGTGAGAATTATATGATAGGCTTCCTTCCCACTCTTTCCATATACCTGAGTTAGATTCATTATCTCTTTTGAGTTATGGCTCCTATTTTTGCTAATAGTGTAATACTAAAAGATCTTATGGGCTCGGAAGCCATGCTCAATTACGACATCTCCGTCCAATAAAATGGAATGTGGAGGGCAACGGCACCTGCCATTGGGGTCATGTATTTTTCCAGTGGGTCCCTTTCTTTCTGCTGCAGTCCTTGGACATTGATGACCAATGGACTCTAGCTATTCATAGTTGTTACTTGTTAGGATTGTAGCATACACTCCCTTTGCTTTTCACCACAGTATCTCGCATGAACTTGTGACAATGCTTCTCTTTCAAAGTTTTTCTGTTATCTTTCTCGGAGTACAATTCTTCAAGCACCGAATGTCAGAATGATGTTCACTCTTTCTTTTTTTTTTTTATGACAGTTAAATGGTTTCATTCATTCTGGAATATATCTAATGATTATGTTGATTTATAGGCTTGTCAATGGTGTTGTGAAAGTGATGGGGGATATCTTTCCAGAATTGAAGCAGCATGAGGTTAAGATCCAGGATATTATTGCAGAGGAGGAGGCAAGTTTTGGGAGAACACTAGTCAAGGTAATTTGGATACTCTAGCACTCCAATGTGTTGGGCGTGTTTTCACTTTTTCAGTTGATCTTTTGGGGACTGTTAAATATGAATTTTATTTTGTTTATTTTTGTTCATCTTAGTGCATGTAAAGAACCGGAGTACAGGTTTTTTCCATTTTTTGGTTAGTATATCTAGGAAGCTGCTCATGAACAATATTATTTCAGTTGATTTGTATCTAAATTCTGGTTTCCACCTCATATGTAAAACTATCTAATCCACCCTACTATGAGCTTACAGCCACTATCCTGGTATTATAATTTCGCTCATGCAACTTTGAATTTCATAACATGCTAAAAGGTCCTTTGTCTTACTGCTAATCAAGGAAGTTTGAAGGAATGCTTGCTCTAGATTTTATCTTGTGTTTATTGCTTGCCTTTGATTTCTGTCCGTAGGGAATTGAAAAATTTAAGAAGGCGGTACAGGAGCTCCAGGATAAAAAGTTGAGTGGACAGGTGAGTTTCTTGATATATGCTATCATTGTGTCTCTTATATTGAAAGTTTATTTTTATTTTTATTTTTTAATTTTGAGAGGTATCATATTGGAACTTTATGCATGATTCATGTATATCTGGCCTATACAGTGCACTGAGTACCATTTCTTGGTGAATATCTTGTTCTTGACTATGGTCTTAGTGCCCTATATATATGGTTTTATGGACCCATTTCATGAGTTTGCAATGGCGATAATGTTATTGGATCATGTCGTTTTGGCACTTTATCTTCTTTCCTTGTTTAGATATTTGTTCCTCAATTTATTTTAATTATCATTATTTCAACAGGATGCTTTTGTTTTGTGGGATACGTATGGGTTTCCCATGGATTTGACGCAGGTGATTTTTGCATTTCATGCTAAATATTAAACTTGAAATATATTTGGTACATCCAATTTGGTGCTTGTTTTCTTTGTTATTTATTGCTGTCACCACTTCTATCAGCTGATGGCCGAAGAGAGAGGATTAACAATAGATGTTGAGGGTTTTAATGTCGCCATGGAAGAAGCTAGGAAAAAGGCGAGAAATGCCAGGAATAAGGTAAAGCTATTGAAGCTGTTCACTTTTCTTGTTCACTCCTTTGCTTTCGCTCCTTTAGTGGTTACCATACTTGCTCTGTAAGGGAAGTATTGATGATAATCTTTGAAATAAGAATTTTGTCTAGCAGTGGATGCAATGCTGTGCTAAATTTTTTCTTGTTTCTCCTATAATTAGAAGCTCCGAAAGAGAATAAAATATTTTGATTCATTGGACTAACTCAGAAGTTCATGTTTGTCCATAGCTTGCTTGAAAATAGCATAAGCATGTAACCAGTTATCACTCATGACTCATGTTGGTCCTATAATAATAAGATTTATGCCTCTTATAACTTCTTGTTGTAACTATCTACTACTTATTACAATAAGTTAACATCATTGTTCAAAAAGGCATAGGCGGGCCGCCTAGGCGGTTTGGGCTTTGGGCCACCTAGGTGCTAAGGCGGCCGCCTAGACCCAAAGGCCGCCTGTGTTGTCTTTTTTTTAAAAGTTGGATCCCCCACGCCTCCCCCCATTTTATTGTATATAATATATAATAATAATTACGAATTAATACTATTTTTTGGTTTACCGATAAATTAATAATTACTATCGCATGCAAAAAGTATTTTTGATAAATTAATAATTATGAATTAATACTATTTTTTACATGCAAAATGACAAGTGGCATAAAAGTCTCATCCTTCCATATATTAATTAAAACTAAATTAATACTATTTTTTATTTACCAATAAATTAATAATTACAAATTAATTCTATTTTTTGATATACCAATAAATTAATAATTACTATCACATGCAAAAAATATATTTGATATTAATACTATTTTTTGGTTTACCAATAAATTAATAATTATTGTTATATGCAAAAAACATTTTCGACAACTTTCTAATCCTTCCATATATTAATTAATACTAAATTAATACTATTTTTTGATTTACCAATAAATTAATAATTACCGTCACATGTAAAAAGTATTTTCGATAAATTAATAAGTACAAATTAATGCTATGTTTTGGTTTACCAATAAATTAATAATTACTGTTACATGCAAAATGACATGTGGCATAAAAAGTCTAATCCTTCAATATATTAATTAAAACTGAATTAATAAAATTTTTGGCTTTACCAATAAATTAATAATTACGTTTAATACTATTTTGTGGTGCTAGTCAAGGCGGCCTAGGCGCTTGCCTTTTACATTGCCTAGGCCGGCGCCTTGGGCGCCTAGCAAAAGCTGCTTAGGACAGGCTGCCTAGTCCACAACTAGGCGCTTTTTAAAAAATGCCGCCTAGGCGGCTGGGCGGTCGAATTTTCGTTCGTTGGTTAACATGTCCGTAATAAGATTTATGCATTGTGAGGAAGTTGGCCCACATATGAAAGAGTTTCAAGTAATGTAAAAAATCTATTGAGGTTGTTTTTACGTTCAGCTAATAGACTATGGGAATAAACTTTTTACCCTGATATGACTCTTATCGGACTTGAAGCTACCAAAATTCATCCAGAAAAACTCGCCACCACTATTGCACTAGGAGTTTCTCAAAAAATTGTCATTTTTTTTTATTATAAGGAACTGAAAAAGATAGTCAACATTTAAAGCCAAAGCACTGAAAAAGGGTGAACCCACTGTCTAGTGGTCTGTAGTTTGCATGTTTTATTGTTGCATTCTAGGTTGCAAGTTCAGATCCATGAACTAAATCTGTTAGAAATTTTACTTGTGTTTTCAGTAAACTCACACAAGTATGATATTTTGATCTGTGAATTAAAGGCAACAACAAGAGCTTTTTTTTTTCCCCATAAAGGCAATATCAAGAGCTAAAGTGCACTAGGCTTTAGTTCGATTGTATTAGCTAGTATATTGGAGAGGCTTATGACCAAGCTGATCCTCTTATTTTTGTTTCCATCTTTTTTATGGACAAGATTGATAATTGTGGCATTCATCCCCTTATTAATTGTTGCTCTATTTTTAGAATTTCTCTTAGAGTTTTCCAAGACATCACTCTTGATGACCACCTAACTCAAAAAATTCGAAAACATGGCTCCTGATGACCACCCAATGCTTCCAGTGAGATAAGCAAGCTTTCTTTTTCTCTTTTTTTTGTGACTCGCTTAAATTCTATGGATAGCTCCTCTCCCTTCTTTGCTCTTGGTATTGGACTCCCACAAGTGGTGTTATTTGCTAGTTTTCTAGGGTGGGTGCTGATTCATAGATTTGAATTCTGATTTATGATACTGCCCTGAAGATTTACTTTTTGTGCTGATGTGTGTGTGTGTGTATCATCATCATCATCATCAAAGCCTTATCCCAACTAATTGGGGGTCAGTTACACAAATCATGTGCCGCCAATATGCTCTATCAAGGGCCGTACCTTTAGTAAGACCATAAGTCCTCATATCTTTTCTCGCTACCAATGTTCAAGGAGGCGGATGCGGCTGCCTAGGCGGCCAGGGGTCTGAGCTTCTTAGGTGGGCGCCTAGACAAAAAGGCATCCTGCATTGGGGGGAGTGGCAGATCCTTGCGGATTGTTGGACCCCCACACCTCCCCCCTTTTTATTGCATATAAAATTAGAATTTTTTTATTTAATAAATTTTGTATATAATTTATTGTTCAAAAGTCATAAGTACTGATCAAACATAAACATGCACGACTTTAGACAGTAAATGAAATAGTTAAAACTCAAAAGCAACATTAAAAGATAGAAGAAACTCAAGATATCCATTAAATCTCACAAGTCACTCGGGTTGGGACAATGTCCAAATTTCCAACCTGGATTATTTTTTTTTACTTGAACCCGAGGAAGACATTTCGCCTACAACCCTTACCTATCAAGTATCAACTTATCACCTAAGCTTGAAAATTACACAAAAACCACATAGTCAAACTTGAAAACATTTATAAGAAGTGAAGATTGCAAATACATACACAAAAGCAAGAAGATTAATTTACAACTACTAGTCTAAATATTTGAAATTTCAAATTAATCCAAAAAATATTAAAAAATGGTCATCTAAAAAATTACAAATAGGAAATGAAGTAGAAAGAATTGTTACATTGACCGTAATATCTTTAGTCCTTAACAGTCCAAGGAAAGCATGAACAAGGCAAAAAAAAAAAAAAAAATCTAGGTAAAACCTACACATAAAAATTGCAATAAAATAACACATAAAATAAAAAAACGTATTACTCATGCAGTTATTTGATACGAAATTGTTAAACTAAATCATAAAAAAAATTATGGGGATAAAAGTTATGGTTTATGGATCATACAAGTAAACTCATGCATAAAATTTTTAAAAAATATTATATTCATTGGGTTTTGGGGCAATGGACTGTTTCCATCGAATTGCTTTCTCAAAGACCCAAACTAAATATCAAAATGGGAAATAATAGTTTTTTTTTGGGCGAATAATAATTCAAATAGGCGACAAAAAATCAAATATATATCATAAAATATCAAAAAGAAAATACAAAAGTTAAGAATAAAATCATAAGGCATTGACATAACCTAATAAAAAATATTGAAATATACCAACCTTCTTGAAATGGAATTGATATCGACCCAAACTGGAAAGTTTTGGTTCCCAAATCTCCTCCTTTACAACTATTATAAGCCCAAAAAAGATTGGGGATGGAATATCCTTGAATTTCATGAGCATTCGAGGAGGTTGAAATTTTCGATATCTCTACATATCTTCAAAATTCAAATCTTACTTTTTCAAGGCTTTTCTCACTCTAAACATTACTTAAAATGTTTTTGGGGGAAAGAATGGCCCCAAATTTTCCCATCTTTTAGGGGGGGAAATGATGAATTTACCCAATAGATGAGTGGCATTTTCCACCCTTGGTCTCGATTGATCGAGGCGGTGCCTAGGCACCTGCCTTTTATGCCGCCTAGGCGCCTGCTTTTTATGCCGCCTAGGTGGGCACCTAGATGCACCCGCCTGAAGCATACCGCCTAGTCCACACCTAGGCGGTAGTGTTTCAAAAAGCGCTAGGCGGTCGGGGGGTCCAGGCCTCCCATCGCCTAGGCGGGCGCCAAAAACCTGGGCGGCCCAATGGAATTTTTTTTTTTTTAGGGTTCTCTCTCTCTAAAATAGTCTCTAATGGGTTTTAGGTTTCAAATGAACCTAAAACCCACAATTTTACCCCTTTAGAATTAAAAAAATAACCAAAAAATACCATCAAGGAGCTGCATTTTCGCCTTTGGGCAGCCGCCCGAGCGGGCGCTTAGGAGGGTTCAGGCAGGTGCCCAGGGATATCCGCCCGATTTGGCCGCCTGGGCTTGGGTGATGCGCCCAGGTCTTTTGGACTGCCTTGGAGGCCGCCCAGATGCGGTTCACTTTTTAAAACATTGCTAGGCGGTTTGAGAAAATGGCCACCTAGTCAACAAGGCGGCTGAATTTTCATTCATTGCTTATTGCTTCCATCCATGTCCTTTTGGGACTTCCTCTAGCTCTTTTAGAACCTTCCACTTGAACAAAATTGTACTCCTAACCGGTACTTTATTGTTTCTACGCTACACATGGTCAGCCAACTTAAGTCTTCTTTCCCTCGTTGTCGCCTATTGAAGCTACACCTAAGTTTCCTCAAATGCATTCTTTTCGGATTCTATCCGTTCTTTGCTACTCATCCATCTCAACATTCTCTTCTTAGCTACACTCATCCTCTAGATATGTTGTTTCTTGATTGCCCAACATTCCGTCCCATAAAAACAAAGCTGGTCTCATAGTTATCTTATAAAACTTTCCCTTCAACTTCATCGGTATGCGGCGATTACATAAAACTCTAGTCGTACATTTCCACTTCGCCCACCAAGCCCTCTATATGCGACATCTTCCTCAATTTCTCCATTTTTTTAGATTATCGACCTAAAGTATCAAAAGTGCTCTCTTGTAGGTATTTCTTGGCCAACAATCTTAACCATTTTTTCATTTCTACTCCTAATACTTCTAAACTTGCATTCCATATATTTTGTTTTAGTCCAATTGCTTTTCAAAACTTTTAGATTCTCAAGTATCCCTCCAAAGTTCTAACTTTATGTTGATGCTGCTTCTAGTCTAGTTGATAAAAACTATGTCATCCGTGAACAACATACACCACACACCACGATACCTCATTTTGTAGGTGTCTAGTTAACTCGTCCATAACTAAAACAAAGGGGTACGGGCTCAACGTTGACCCCTAATGTGGGCCTTTATATATATGTATATATACTATGAAATAGTCTAGGCCTGGCGAGCCAGATGTAATGATCCAGAAATGAACGGCAAAAATTGCCTGCTAGAATTATTATTGTTATTATTATTATTTTTTGAGTAGGGGTTAGATGGACCCCAAATTTTGTGCAGTTGTCTGCTTCATCCAGACTCTAAATATAAAAATAAAATAAATGGATACACATGAGAAATGTGAGGCAAACAGTGTGTAGCATTCCTGGCCATTCAGATCGCCTCGTCTCCTCAGGCCTATGTTATAGCATAAGTACTTTGGCTTATGGAATCTTTATCCACACACATATGAATGCACACACATACACATAATGTTTTACTTCATACTTAGTTATGTCTGACTTCTGAATCTTGTCTATTTTTGGCAGCTAGGTGGGGATGCCATAATAATGGAAGCTGACGCAACATCAGAGTTGCACAAGAGGGGAGTGTCTACTACTGATGATAGCAGCAAGTTTATATGGTTTCAGGTCTGAATATAGGCATTCTCTCAGAACAAAGTAGTTCTAGTACTCAACAGTTTGATCTGTTTTTAAGTGACATAACTGGTGTGAAGTTAATGATTGGTTGGACCCTGGCCATGGTCTCCCTAGGATTTAGATGTATCAAGGAGACACCCCTTTCTGATGCTTCTGCTGTAGTTTTAAATGCTTAACATAGGAATATTATGATTAAGGGGTTTAAGTCTGCTGTAGAGTGGATATTTCTGTAGATGAATCATAGTACTAAGTTTCTCAATCCATTAAATGTAAGTTCTGTTTTATTTATGAATTATTTATTTATTATTAATTTGCATAGGAACCTAGGTTAGGTTAAGCATTACCTGAAAACATCGAAAAATAATTAAATTTCTTTTTCGATAGACAAAAAGCAATTAAAGGAAAATTCAAAAAGTAAACTTTTTATGGTTTGTCTATTATGAATTTTTTATAGGTGGAATAAAAGGAATCTCTAGCTCATAAATGATCGATTTGATTTAAATGTCTATTATTGATATTGGAAAAAAAGAAAAATAGACCACCCCCGGTTCCCTATCCTCTAGTTTCACATCACCCACCAAAATGATGAAGTTGGTTTATTTTTATATGGCATGTATCGATTATGTAGTTGCAAGCTTACAGCTCTATATTTCTATTAGACGATTTTCCTGGACATCACTCATTCTATTGCATTATCAGTTTTATTGAGTGATTAATAAAATGGGTGCAGTTTGCATACGGACGCATCCGTAGATGTAGAGGTAAAGTGGACCTTCAAATTTTATCATGGTATATAATTTTGATGTAAAATGTTCTTAGGATCATCTCAAAATATATTTTTATATGTAATTATAAAATTTTAAATTTCAAAAATGGTTAAAATCAAGTAGATCTATAAACATATGAAAATCTTGAAAATGGACGGTGTAGATAATATGTTGTAAAATGCACTATTTCTGAGGCTTAAAATCTTTTTATTTTTCATAGTCATACATCTCGATGTCTAGATGATCAATCAAAGGGTTTTTCAATTTTAAAACTACCTTTTCCGATGGATTTTTGAGGGGCATCCGTAGTTCTACATTATAAGGTAGCATCCTTATATAAACTTTTTCCTTAATAAAATGCTGATTGTTTTAAAAAGCGTCCACCCTGGTGCCTCGAGACAGGGTGGGTGCCTAGGTGCCTCTTCCAGGGCTAGATGGCCCCTTGCCTAGGCTCTAGACGTGGCATCTATATGGGCATCTTGGACCTTAGTCAAGGTTCCTGCCTTGGGCAGCCCATGGCCTGAGGGTAGAAAATGCAGGGCCATGGACAAAATGGTCTCCCCCAACCTCCAGCCAAAAAATAAAATAAAATAAAAAAATAGGGGGACATTGGGGATTGTGGGAGTATATTCTAAACCACCCACCCCCCCTCCCCGGTCCTTTCCTTATCCCGGTGTGTAAGTGTTTTCTTTAGATAAGAACATCAATAATAAATTAAATAAATTCTATTTTTGAAAGATCAAAGTAAACTCGGAACTTCAGGAAATCATTTTGAAAAGCAGTTAAATTTAACATGATATTCAGCAAGGCACCTGCTTAGACAGTTAGGGCCTGCCTCACGGTCCCCTCCCCCCTGCATCACATAGGCACCTAATGGTTTTTAAAATTTTGATTTGCTTTGGATGGAAGTTTTTAAATACATAATCATTTAGTAATATGTTATTTTTACTAGCAGGATCACAAGATTACTATCAAAGCAATATATACTGGAGCCGAGTTTTTGGAGAGTGCATCTGCTGGTGCGGAAGTTGGCATTGTTTTGGATAGCACAAATTTCTATGCAGAACAAGGTGGTCAGGTACGAAGTCAACTGTTACATGTGGGACAGGATAAATAACAAATAGGAAAGTAGATACTTGTCTTGTACTTTCCATTCAGCAGGCTAGAAGTAATGTCAGCCCCCCATGGGCAACAAAGGATTGATGATGGGAACCATTCAAACTTCAATTGACCAAGGAATTGTGGACATTAGTCACCTGTTAGGAGTCAATGGATGCCTACGTTTTTGTAGAAACTGAAACAGTGTTGATAAATTCAGTTTTCACAACTCTTTATTGTGATATATCTCAAGCTATTTTTGTTACGATTATTACTTCTTGTGTACCTTACAATCCCAATGATTCTATTGATAGGTTTCAGAGATGAACTTGACCATCCCCGCTGTTCTTATGCCTTTCTCATATTTGTGTTCTAAATTCATCTTGCATTTTGCTCATGTGACCTTTGACTTGAGTCCATATCACTGATCTCTTGACTATATTTTTAATCAATATGCAGATATATGACACTGGATCCATTGAAGGCTCATCTGGATCATTTCAAGTTAGTAATGTTCAGATATTTGGAGGCTTTGTTCTTCATATTGGTTCTCTTGGTGGATCAAGTACATTCAGTGTAGGAGATAAAGTAGTTTGTAAGGTAATGCTTGTGGTTGCCTCCTTTTCTATTTGACTTCAGATGTGTTTTTGCAATTGTAGTCGCTGGAGATTATGTTTTTGTTAAGGGTCATTGGAAATGAATGTTTCTCTTTATAATGGTCATTGAAACTTGTGCTTTGTGGTATGAACAGGTTGACTATGGTAGGAGGACCCTCATTGCACCTAATCATACCTGCACTCACATGTTAAACTTTGCTCTAAGGGTGGGAAACCTGTATTATACTTTTGAAGTTAGCCGACCTTTTCCATTCTTCTGGAGAGCTTACGGATGCTGCATTATACATGCAGGCTGTACTTGGTGACCATGTCGATCAAAAGGGTTCTATTGTTCTTCCTGAAAAGTTGCGGTTTGATTTCTCTCATGGTAATGGTTTAGGGGAAGTGTACTATAATTCAAGAGATTATGGAGAGTCAACATTCATTGGGTCATCGCTGTACAATAGTATTATTGACACTGATGGGAGAGATTGCTGGATTGACCCTGAGTCATTCCTCGAGGGCCCCACTCTCTCTCCATTAATGTCCATCATTTTATTGGAGTGGCTTTGATCCTATGGGCTATGAGCTGTCCTTATTCCCGGTCCATCATATCAAAATATACTTTACTTCTAGCTTCTTATGTCCATTACTGTGAAATATCTGTAAATCGTGTTTATCAGCTCCTATATAGCAATGTTATTTGAACAGGGAAACCTATTCATCCCGAGGATTTGAGAAAGATCGAGTCAATTGTAAATGACCAGATCAAAGATGAATTAGATGTATTTGCAAGTGAGACGAGTCTTGCAGATGCTAAGCGCATCAATGGGTTGCGGGCTGTCTTTGGAGAAGTGAGCTCCTTGTCTTATGTTTTGCAAGATGCTCATTCTCTTGTGGTTTGTAGTAACCTCTAACTGGCTTGTTTTATCTAGGTATATCCTGATCCCGTGAGGGTTGTATCAATTGGCAAGAAAGTGGAGGAGATCCTGGTTGACCCAGGGAACAAAGAATGGCTATCAATTTCTACTGAACTTTGTGGGGGTAATAGTTTTTTCCTTTTATGTGGTAAATTATCGTGTCAATAACAACAGTTAACTTCATCAAAAAAAATTTATCGTGTCAATAACAAGATCCAGTGGAGCACACACACCGCCCCCCACTTCCCCCCTTCTCTTATTTTCTAGTTCAACTTGGGATGCTGCAGGCGATGATCAATGCCTTAACTATTCAATCCCAAGCCTGAGCCCGATCCTATCCTCTCTCTCTCTCTTTGTTTTTTTTAAGGTAGTTCAGCTATAGGATTCGAATTTGGGATGCAGTGTTGCAATTATGAAGGCCTTAACTAATCGTGCCCAAGCCCGATCCTATCGTCTCTCTCTCTCTCTCTC